GGTTTGAATCTCCAGAACAGTTTGTTCCATCATTCTTTTCTTCACATGAACTGAAAAACTGAATTTTTGCACAGTCGAAAATAAAGCGGAAATTCAACAAGCGGTCGCAAAAGCGAGCGATTGAAAAGCGAAAGCGGGCGAGAGGTTGGGCAAAATGAGTTCTGTACTTCTTTGTTTGATGAAGCGATGCTGATGCCACATTGTCGCCACAATGAGGCCACAATGAAGCGAAGCGAAAACCGCCTAACTTTTAATGTCGCGACATTGAAGCGATGCTGAAGCCATAACAATGCCATAATGATGCGATGCTGAAGCGAAGGTGAAGCTGAAGTGAAGCCAAAGCTTCCGCGAGAACTGTACTGTATGTGTCCTGAAGAGGGGCATATACAATTAAAATGGGTGAGAGGCAGGACTTATGGGTGAGGGGGCCTAAAGACCTCTTATTGCTCTGTGAACCTTTGAGTGTAAAATTTCAGTTAACTTTCAGTTATTTGCAGCGTAATTTTGAGTTTGTAATTTTATCTAAATTATTCAATGAATACGATGAATATAATGAACTATATTTGGAGGGGGTGAAACAAGATTGCTTTGTTTTCTAAATGTCTATCTTGGACAAACATAACTTGAATGTCATGGCACTAATTTTTGGCTGATTTGCGTTCTCCTTGCAAAGCTTCATTGCCAGTCACTGTACAATTTGTCAACTTCGTGTCCAACTTGCTGTGACGTTAGATCAAAGAGGAATCACAATTGATTTAATGAACTAAAAAGTATTCCTTTAATTTGTGCACAAGAGAAGAATTCTTATTTTCATGCTATTAATTCATGCTTCAGAAAAACAGATTTATATTCACTAAAGTGAGTATTTACGGTAACAATAAGAATATGTACATAGAATAATCCCAGTACACATGTGAGTGTAACAGATTGCTTGTGTGAAACTAAAATGAAACTTGTATATCTCTGTGTGCTATATTTATGTTTAGCTAGTGTTTAACTTTAGTCATGGGATATTAGGTTATTGGACCAAATATTATGAGATTTGTATAATAACTATCACATGTACCATCTGAGAGTACTGTATGGTAAAGACAAAACATAAAAATACATTATGTTACTTCCTTCAATTATAGTTTAGAGTACATGTATAAGGGAAGAGTAGGAAATCAAACGGGCGGTGCACTGCGGTCATTACCGCGGTGCTGTTGGGTGCTCGCCGGTCGACCGCATATTATGCAAATTTATGCATGATTCCATGACGCCGGCTGACCGCGGTCTTCCGCGGTGGGCTCGCACAGCAATTCACACTTATTGTCAAGACCATTAATGAACACAAAGAACTGGGAAATTCAAAGGATCACAAAAAGCTAGGAAACTAGTCTATAATAGTTGACATTATTTTATTTGCCTGAGCCTTGGAATAAAATCACAAAACAATCCAGAAAGACGTAGAGATCAACATAATATGAAAGATGATCGCATTATTTTGTGAATATATATCATGCATGGTCTCAGAAAATGTTTAGAAAGATTAATGTTTCGCGTAGACCAAATATAATCACGCATAAGTATAAATTCAAAGTGTTTTAATACATTGGTGAGAGGTCGCATTTATGTGAACAAGAACATGCACTACGGTAAGAAGT